GAAAACCTGTAAATCATTTCACTCAATGAGTGAAGTGATTTACAGGTTTTCTACTTTCATCACTCATATATAAGTAGACAAAGCAGGTTAAATCAGAAAAAAGGTCAAATAAATAATAAGCCTTATCACATTGAAGAGTGACCAATAAGAATAGCGTATTTGCATACATCATTTCACTTTTCAGATAACCATGCACTTCATTGCACTCCATTTCTAGTATGTGGCTTAAACAGTAAATTTAAACAAATGCTGTTTTCTTTTATGTAATTTATTTTTTTTAGTTCATTTTTAATATTACTTCAGAACTTCAAATTTTATAAACTCAATTTTAATAAAAAGCAATTAAATAACAAATATATAAGGTAGATATGCCTACTTTGATGCAACTAATATTCTTGATAGATATATCAGAACTGGATAATTTTAATATCGAGACAAATTGAATAGCACCAAAATCATCTAATTCTAATCACTAAATCATGAGATATCACTTTTTAATAGACACAGATAACCATTTACAATAGATATTATGTGGTGTCAAATTAGATATATCTACATTGGGCTATTTTAGTTAAATAGAGTATCTCGAGAACTATCGACCAGGATCACAAATGTTGGTTTTCACTTTTTTTTATTTTTTACTAACAAAGATGTAAAATATAAAAATATCACAAAAATGTTGAGTTCAGCTCCTTAATTCAATACATTTTACTGGTTCCTTCTTACGTTAATATTCTTATAATCTATACTTTTTGTGATACTTATGATGTTTCATAGAGTATAAAAGGAGATAACATTAATAATGAAAATTTAAATGATGTAGTGTCTGAGGAAGATGATAGTAACAATCAGTACTTGCACAAGATGCACATATGCAAGTTTTTTTTTTGAATTTTAAAAAATTTCCTAAGTATGCAAGTAAAATTTTTCAAAAAGCTGCACAAATTTACAAAACATATGTTTGTGCAAGTGATTTTTATTTGAATTTTAAATACTAATAACAATTAAGATTAATGTCATTGAGAAAGAAGATATAAATTCTACATACCAAATCATTATCAAGGGGTTAAGAAATAAAGGTCATAAGGTGAAGCAAAATCATAATGCTGCTACAAAGTAAGATAATTATTATAGATTGTTTAGAACAAATTTAGTTCTTTTATGGATATTTACGAATAGTAAAATAATCATTTTATTTATATCAAGCACTTTTTTTCAAAATATTTTTCAACTCAAAATTATAGTGGTGAATTAGCAATTGTCTTAATAAAATTTTGAGAAAATAGCTCTATAATTTTTATTTGGCTTTTGATAAGATTAATATTTATTTAAATAGCATCTTTAAAATTCTTTGACATATCTTTATTAATTTTTTTGTACAAAAGTATTTTGGTCAGTTACAATTTTATCTGCTTTCAGAGTATTAGGCAATTGCTTTGCAAGTAAAAAGATCTAATTTATGTTAGCTTAAAAAATTAGTGAATGAAATTATTTATTATTTAAGAAAACTGTTAGGATGATAGATTAGCTAATAATTAAATTAATTTATATATATGTATGTATGTACTGTACTTCTATCTTGATTGTTAAATTGCAGATGGTTAAATAGCTTTAAATATTAGAAAAAAATTATACCAAAAACCTTCACGACAAATAAAAAGCACTACTTTTTTAAGCTCAAAAAATTAGTATTGTTATTTTTAAACTCTAAATTTCAATGTATTACATTCATTTGTATAACAATCAAATCATTAAATAGAGGTCTATACCAATCACTACCCTCGATAAGCATTATCCATTTCTAATTAAAAGTTTTATTTTAAAAAATACATAGTCATTGGATTGGCTAGATTTTAATTTCTAAAGCTAAATAAGTAAACTTACGCTAATCGGATGTGATCTAAACCTTAAATTTCACATATTATGTTAAAAAAAAATTTCATTCTTTTGTATAGTATATACCAAATAAATTTTCTTTAATATTCTTAAAATGTTTTAGTTTGACTAGAAGAAATATTTAAAAGTAGTATGCATTGCAAATTAAAATTTAAAATTAATATTAAAAAATGAGTTCTAATGCTTATTTAATTGTAAAAAAAAAGATAATTTTGTGGTTAATGTTTTTAAAGAATTGTTATCACAAAAAGCAATAAAATGCAAATATACAGGGTGAGTGCTTTTTATCGAGTTTGTAGAGTCATTGTATATCTAAAGTTACATTGCCATGCCTGTGTAAATTACCTGGAATTGAAAGTGCTTTGTAGCTAATTGTTTTGGCAGTTGAATGTTCTTCTAGTTATAGGTATTTTGGAATGACCCATACTCTGCCAGAATTCATGATGAAAAGGATACACAAACATAAGTCTGATAATCTCTTATGTTTTTGATGATAATGATACACATCTCATTTTTTTATTATTTAAGTGATAGTAAAAGTGGAGTCGATATTATGTTAAAATTCATAGTATCTCATTCACAGTTATGTTTAAAGATTGGGTTAGAAAATTGTTAAGTTTTAAAAAATAGGTATTAAAAAGTGTAGCTAATGTTGAAACTACCAATTAACTTAATAATAATTATAGGACCTACCATAGTTTAATTATTAGATGGGACTCTCACCCAGCTAAAAAGAGAGACTGTTAGTGTTGTGATTCCAGATGGGAGAAAGTTTTCTTTTAATTGCAAAATCAGATCTAGAGTCTCAGTACATCATATTATTTTAACAAAAAAAAGTGATATTTACAGAGACCTTGAAAATGTTAGCAAGAATATTTTTTTGGTTTTTGTTTTAAATATTTCTGTATTTCTTTTTTTTTGCAAAAATAGTTATTTTGTTTGTAAGTATGTATTTAAAATATTCAAAAGATAATTATTACTTTTATTGAATTCCTTGCGGTGAATTAAAACAAATTTGATTTCTAATTGGTATTTAAAATATTTTGTTCAAAATAAATGTTAATTTTTTATGGATCTGTTAAATAGATTAAACACATTTGAAAGAAATTGATTTATAATATGAAATAATTTTATCATTATTTATGACATATTACAATTATAAAAGTAAATTTTATTACATGTAAATTACTGACCCGATCCAAAAAATGTGGGGCCGTGGAATAATTTTTGATATTTTCACGGCGGATCAGCTGTGTGAAAATATCAGTGCGGAGTATCACGGGCGACCATCAGGAGACATAGGATAAATAGAATTAAATATCAGCGGAGATAGAAAAAGTCCTGATTAGGGTCCTGTTTAGAGACTTTCCACCCACCCGCCATAATTTTGAAAAAATCGCAAAAAGTCGCAGAATTTGCAGCATAAATAAGAAAAATATTCGCATAATTTCGCATAAACAGGCTTGTGAAGAATTTAGGGTCTGTCGCAACAGAAAATCGCTGGCCCTATTTGCGCGGATAATAAAATAGTAGTTTAGGATTAGGAGTGAGCTACAGCAATAAGTTGGAGTTCCCTATATGTAAAATTTCATCCCCGTTATTTTTTATTAGTCCACCAAGGTCGATTTAAACACTAGTTTTGAGTATTTTCGATTTCTTTTCTTTTTTTCTTCTTTCGCACGTGTTCGGATTGCTGATCCGGAATACAGTACCCAAAATTTGTGTTCTCTGATTTGCCATTTCCTTTTTAGAGGTTTGTATTACCAGTGCAAATAAGTGGATGCGGCCGATATGACGTACCATTTCCTTTTTAGAGGTTTGTATTACCCGCGCAAATAAGTGGACGCGGCAACAAATAAATTTAGCTTCATGTAACCTAATGTGAGAGTACGTATAAATATGATTAAGGTGAGAACAAAAATTGGACATACCTAAGTACTGTATTCCGCAACTAATATAAAATAAGAAGAAACAAGCATTGTATAATTCTATCTGTAAAGATAAAAACACACATAAATTATTATGACTAATGAAAGAACAATATTGCTAGTAGGTAGAACTGGTAACGGTAGATCTACAATAGCTAATGTGATTAGTAACACTAATAAATTTAAAGAGAGCGAATATGCAGTTAGTGAGTCGGAAGGAGGACAGATAGAACATTTTCGTGTAAAGGGGGAGAATATGATTTATCACATAATTGATACTATTGGTATTAGTAATAATCGTTTTACGGAAGAGGAAACTTTACGTAGGTTAGCCAATGCAATTAAGGGAGTCCAAAATGGTTTGAATCAAATATTCTTTGTAATTAGTGGTAAATTCACTAAAGAAGACGTAGAAGCTTTTACTTTGTTTCGAACTATTTTTTTTGGAGAAGATATTGGTAAATATACTACTATTATTCAAACCAAATTCCCGGGTTTTCGTGATCCGGAAAAACGCCGTAAAAATAAAGAAGTTATGAGAAATCAAAATGAGAATGTAGCAACTATATTAAGCTCTTGCCGTCGCCTTGTTCATGTAAATAATTTAACTGAACAAGAAGATTCTCGGCAAAGAGCTCGTAATGATTGCCGAGCATTTTTGCGCAATTATTTATCTTCTAATTGTCAAAATGTTTATATGCCCAGCAATTTGGGAGAAATAGATAAAAGAATTGAAAATTATCTAGCTGAAAAAGAACATGGCAGTGGCCAACAAGTTCAGATTGACCAACTTATAAAAGAAAACCAATATCTTCGTGAGCAGTTAAACAACGACAATGCACAGCAAAAATTTAGAAATTTGCAAAATTTTTTTGGGGGTCCGACTTATGGTTTCCCATAAAAATTATTTTTTGAGAACGTTAAAACATAGTAATTTAAAAGCTGTGCTTTTATTTGTATAATTGTGTTTATATAGTTTGACTATTTGGTTTTATAGTATTATCAGCTTGAACTCGATGTTGCATTTAGAGAGGTATTGCATTTAGGGAGATTGCAATTAGGAAGATCTGACTGTATTATTTTATGAGAAATAAACAATTAATATTTAGTCCTTTGTTTCTGGTGAATATACTCTTTATACTAAACCTAATTGAAATGCTATTTTCTATTTTATTCAATAAAATATTTTATATTTAGTATATTTAGTAAAATTAATTCTAACAAAACTATTTAGGCCTAAATTTTCCTAACTTCAAGTTGCATCTTATATGTATAGATGCAACTTAATCTTTTTTTATAAATATAATTATGTTACTTTTTTTTTATTAATAGCAAATAATCACACTGGCCTAAGACTATATTCTTTTCCGTCAAAGGCAAGCATCTGTATTAGTGATACGGTGAAAACTTTAAGCATCGGAACAAGCCGAACGTAACTAAGTCATAACTCATTATAATATTCCGGTTTTATACACAGTATTGTTGCAACAGGTCAATGTAGCTATACCATGTCAGAACTTTACTATGTACCGTAACTAAACTTTTCATATGCCGTAACTTTTATTATTTAATGGATTGTGCACTTGTACATTGTTAGCAGTCATAATATTTGCTATTTACAATAAATCTAAGTAATTTGGTGTGAATTAATTTATCTAGTTGCATAAGGCATTTAATTGGCGTCAGAGATGTGAAGTGAATTTTTAAATTGTTTTAGTTGTGCAAAGAACATTTAGGATGTGTTGCATGAAGAACTTTTGTGAATATTTTTAAATTGACTTGGCAGCGTGAAGAACTTTTACGATAGGAAATTTTGTCTTATATGAAGAGCTTGTCTTGGTCACACAAACTTTATTTGCAAGAATTTTTTTAAATGGCCATTTTTGAACAATATATTTCATTGCTGAAACAAAGAAATGAGACTTATGTGTCGCTATTAAAGAGCATTAAAAAATTTTTAATTTTGACAAGCTCATATATAGAAAAAGCATATGAATGTCCAAATTTGTTTATTTTAAGATTTGTATTTTTTTTAACTCTACAGAGGCGAACTATCTCTTAATATTTTTTTAAATCTAAGAAAATGTTTATAATCATAGCACGATAACCATATTTGAAATGTATTTTTTTCAATCTCAACAAAAAATGAACAGTCATTATTATAATCTTTGATTCTTCTAAAATAATGTGTTATAAAATTACTTTAAATAGTTCTCTGTTTTTAGTAAAATACATATTTTTTTTATCTGGAACATTGAGAAGATTATTTGATAAAATTATAATTCTACAATTTTTTATCTCTAAAAAGATATTTAAGATATTTTTAATAATTATATTTTTTGAAATTATTGTGATGTTGCAGTTTGTTACAGAAACTGTTTTGATATCAAAATCATAACAATCTGCAATTATTAGTTCTTCCAATTTTATAAAAATTTCAAATACAATATGATATAAACTACTATAATATAAAAATATTTTTTTGTGTTCAATTAGAAGTATTAGAAATATTTTTTTATTTTTTTTTTCTACTTAGACCATCTTGTCTTTAGTCTCCTTTATTACTTTACGATTGTATGGTATTACAAAAGGCCTTAGCATAATATTTAGGAGTGGCATCCTGCAGTTACTTCGAGAGCACTTACAAGCGATCGGCCGCACTGAGCAGATACATCCCTATGAATATATCGCGATAAGTTTCAAAATAGAAACACTATCTCTCTCAGACGAACACTATTAGACCACCACCCTACAATAGGATATAGCCAATCTGATGACATCTTCTCGTAGGGAAGTGGAAAGAAAAAAAAAATTTTTTTACTAATACTAACACTAATACTAAAGGGGAGATACTAAAAAAAAAACAGAAACTAAAACTAAAAAACAAATACAAAGACGAAAGGGAGAAGAAAAAGAAAAGAAGATCTGATAGGTCACAGTTATAGACCTGTGTCGAGCCTTAAAAATTATATATTAATAGGTAAAGAAGCTCTGTATCTAACTCTATCCTAATAATATATATATAAAAAAAAAAATAAAAAAAAAAGACAGCTAAATAAAACAGAGTAGCCTGAAATATAAAAGTCTCAAAGTATTGTCCAACGGTTTTTCCGGTCGAGGCACGTATACCATATTTGTCCAAAAATAAGCTACCTTTTTTGGCCAAAAAGTTACACAAAAATTTTGCAGGTAGCTTATTTTTGAATAAAAGCATTTTTTGCCAATTGCAAAACATTTTACTAAGTAAATCAATCATGCGTATTAAGTGAAAATTGTTCAGGAGATAAAATTACACATATTTTAAAAGTTTCATATAAATCGGCTAACTTTTTATTAATCGACTTTTGATTTTTACGTTCGACGAATATGAATTTTAAAGAAACTTTAAAAAAATTTAAAAAAATTCATTGAAGGTAACATGCAAAAATGTATTAATAAAAAGTCATCTGATTTGAATAAAACTTTTAGAATATATGTATTTTGATCTCATGAACAACTTTCACTTAATAAGCTTTGTCAATTTACTTAGTAAAATTTTGACTTTACTATAGAGTAACTACCAACGATCATTAAGTAGCTTATTTTCAGGTATAAGTCATTTTTATGTTTTTCTTCCAAAAAAGGAAGGTATCTTATTTTCAGTAGTAGCTTATTTTCAGACAAATACGGTACCATTTGTATTGTCATACAGTCTGTACATAGTTGTTTAATCCAGATGTCTGCCCGTTATCCTGTTATGGAAATCCTATCTATTTCTAGACAGGTAAACAATACCGACTTGTTTTGGAAAATTATGTGTCGATCTTTTGGAGGGGGTAAGCTAAAATGCACACTTTTTGACAAAATTTCCTCGAAAAAAGTGGTGGGCCAATGAAACTTTTCTGTGGTTGTTCCTTGTAAGTTTTAC